GCTTTAACACTAGAGTAGAAATGGGGTCAAACGTCGTTTCGGAAGAAAAAAAATGGTGCAAAAGGCTAAAAGTTTGGTTTTCATACTCACCAGCAGATGATGAACTTCCCACTTCACGTGTGCTGCGATTAGCAAACAAATTCCCAACAGAATCATCCATAGATGGCAACACTTCTTGATGGGTAGACAAAGCTCCAGCCGAACCAGTCATGGATGGCATGACTTCATCAAGGACAGTAACCACCGCGGAATCAACATCTTTACGGTGCTCAATTGCGATAGCCTTCAGTATACGATGATCAACCTGCAGAAAAGAGTTATCAGACAAATTTGACCTCAGGAAACAGCCAGGAACGGCACAAACAGATAACGCCCCTAAATTTGATCTAATCATCAAATAATCGTGTCCGATCTCTCCAGAACCATCGAATCGAATCTCACCGCGATAAGCAGCTCCCAATCCCACTGGTATTTACCCAGTCCATGTGTGTCCTAGCCTCCTAGGGCTAGTCACCCTACCCTAGTACCCTCAGCTACCAAAAAAAATACATTCACGAAAAAAAAAACTTCTTTTGCAGCCACACACATGACATCTCAAAGGCAGTACGCGAGAGTGCGAGACACGGAAGAGAACCGATCGTACGCACCTGAGGGAAGAGTTCTTGGAGGGAGCGGAAAACCTCCTTGAGATCGCCCATCTGAGAAACCTAGATAACAGAGATCGATGCAGAACCCCCAGAACCGAGCTCCCACACGGCTGTCTCCGGCGGCGCGGATGGAGAGGATTAGGGTTTGGGGTTCCCCGCTGATTGCGTGAGATACCAAGTGAAGAAGGAAAGCGAGGAGGTGACCGAAACCGCAGGGGAAGACGGGCTTTTACCAGCTCCAGCCCGTCCCTTCCTTTTTTCCGTTTAGGTCCTCCGGTACTTCGAATTCGAGAATTTCAGTGTATGTAAATCTTTTTTTTATGCGCAAGCAGTGTATGTAAATCTAAAAATACTTACTCACTCGTTCAAAAAATAATATAAATCTTGAGGAGTCAATTAATTCTAAATTTAACTAGATTTATTAACATTTGTATCTCTAAAAATTTTATTATGAAAATGTACCTCAAGATTAATTTAATGATGATGTTTATAAAGTATTGCAAATATTATTTTTATAAATATCTCTTGAATTCTCGAAAAATGAGATTTACCTTTTTTTGGAACAGAAATAGTACAAAAATAGTAAAAATACTTCTACTACATTAAATTTATTTTATATAAAACTCTATAATTGTCAATAATTTCAGCCCTGACCACAGCTTAACTGAAATGATCTAACTTTTATACAGTTAAAAGATGTGAAGAAAGAAAGCGCCAAGTTTGAGGACTTCATCTAGCTAAATTTGAAATGATTCCTTTCTTTTGTTAAATGTCAAGTAACAAAACAAAAAATAGATATTTGATGGTACTGACGTACTGTAGCACTTTCTTTTGAGGACACTTCGCTTTCTTGCAGTGCCGGACCTAGGTTTTTACCTCTGGGTATGCGCAGCAAAAAAATTTCTTATGCAATTCGGTAAACCATATATAATTTGGTAAAACCATATTCTCATTCGGTAAAACCATATTCTAAAACCATATAAATTGTTCAAATGAAATACAAAATACTTTAAAATATAGCCATATAAGAGACTTACAATATTACTTGTTGATCCGTCGCTTTCTCAATGACATGAATGCCTCAATTATATCATCTTTATCAACTTGAAATAAAATATCCCGCTTAATAAATGTTCTCAATTCTGCGGGCGGTGGCAGTGGCGAAGGATTTGCAATTTCTTCAACTTCTGCTCTATCTTCTCGATTCTGCTCTTCCACAACAGTTTCAACCGGAGGTGGGGTAGGGTTCAAAGCAGCTGCAGCCGGCTTCTTTGCTGCTTTGCAAAAAAAGGATCGAATGTCGCCGTTTCTCTTTATCATTCAACAATTCTTCTGAAAAATAGTTTATAATTACCAAACGTGCGAAACTCAAATAGTATAGTCACATGCGATATTGAGTTATTGACTCATGTTTGGACTTTGGAACTTACCGACCGGTGCTAATGAACTTGCTGGAGTTCTGGACCTCGCGCGTCGCCCTGAGGAGCCGAGCAGATCGCCGTCGCCACCTCGCCGGATCGTCGCGGGCTCGCGGCTTCTCCTTTCCCGTCATGCGTCGCCTCAAGGAGCCAGGCAGAGCATATCGTCATGACTCACGGCCAGAAATCCATGGATCGCCGCCGGCCGCCGCCGCCTCCAACTCTCCTGTCCTAGTCGCCTTCTCGGCTTCTCCAGTTCTCCTCGTCCTCGATCGAGAATTCGAGATGTTCTACAATACCCAAAGAGCTTACTCGTCTCATGAGTCCGCTACTGCTAGGTGCTAGCGAGATCGCGGAACCGAGAGTCCAGGACAGAAGCCAAAGCGCCGATCGTTTTCTTTTTTTATTTTTTTACATTGAAAATTTCTACCTATCTCTATGACTGGCGGACCCCAGGGTATGCGGTGGCCCACCCTACATACCCTGTGGTTCCGTCCCTGCTTTCTTGTTTAGTTGCACTTGTTTTCTATGATTATTGTTGTGCAAAATATGCCTTATTACAATTTGAGAGTTTTTATGGAGATTACATTGCACAAATTTTACAGTCAATGGTATCCAAATATGTCCATCTCATGCGATTGACTCTTTTGAACATTCTGCTAGTAGGTGCGGGTTATTATACGAAGCCATGACCGTTTCTAATTGCCAAAATAACACATCTCTCATAAAAAAAAATCAATCTGACACAATTTACAATAAAGCGAAGCTTTTTTGTTGTTTTTTATTTGTTTGTGGTGTTATTTCTATTTTTCTTCTTTTTAAGTTCGTTTGTAGTTGAATAATAATTTAACAGAAACGAAAAGGTGACAAGGCGTCTGAATAAAAATTCAACAAGCATGGTTCGGTTTGCTACCCTCCAAACAGGCCCGTACTGCCGTATTTCTTAGCCACAAAGGAAGTAGCATACCACCAAGATGACGGCTAGCCATTTGAACATTTATTAATGGGGATGGTCTCACATCGCTGTAGCCCGTCCGATGCTGAGGTAAACACTGCAGCTCGCATGGCGGCAAAACTGTTTCTAGGCTTCGTATCTATCATGCTTGATTCACGCTTGCTTTATGCTTTTCTTAGTATCTTTCAGCTAGCACACTCCATTTTATGCATCTGATTGTCGAATCTACAAATACTTTTACTGTCTTACAAGTTACAAGGGTGAATACTAAAAAACAAAGGCTTTACCTATACATAAACAACGTCGCAAACTTCATTTTAGTCCTCACAGTTGAACTAAGGTCCCATAAGAAGCCTTGGAACTCCTGTGCCAGAGGAATCTGCAATCCTTTTACTATCTTATTACAAGGGTGAATAATAAAACCAAATATTTGTAATTAGGAGTAAAATAATGACTTCTGGCTCTCTAAAGATGCAAGGCAATCCACAGGTTCCTCACGTAGTTCTCACAGCTGAACTAAGGTTCGATAGGCAGTCTTAAACTCCTATGCCAAACAGCACGGGACAAACCTCATGCAACCCTAATGCCCCATTAACAAAAACACATCCGGGAGTTGGCACATTTTTCATGATTTCAACTCAAACCCACAAAAAAGGATCAAATTGTGATTTTTTTTAGCGGTTTCAACTGAAACTCCCCACAAAAAGGGTTAGATAGTAACACTGATTCTTGCACATTTTCTGTATAGAGTATTTTTCAACCGTCAGCATTACCTCAGAAAAATTATAAAAGAAACTATAGATGGGTCTGTGCAAAGTGGTTTCCTAAATCGGTAAAAATGTACCAACCAGTTTTCCATTCCTTAGTAATGCATGAACCTTGCAATAAACCGAAATATAACTAATTCCAACATGGTCAAAGATTGACTACCAGATATACTATACTACAAATCATCTCAATACAGATAGTCCAGACTCCAGACATGACAGCTGTAGTATCTCGCATTTCTCACCAATATCAAACAATAGATGCATTCTTGGGAAGAAAAAACCCAACATATCCTATGGTGACACCAAATCCAGATATCAGAGCACCAGACTAGCTGGAGAAGCCAAAGTAGTGACATAGTTCCATACTTCACTTGGTGATTACCAGACAAACCCTTTGATAAAAGCAAATGCATTGTGCCACAACACAACAGCACAAGCTGCTACCTAGCTTGCTGCTGCCAACTTATCATCCAGCATCACTAGCTCCCTAAAGTACAACAAAATTTACCCTTGCCTGTTTAACTATCAGAATTCAATATGAACAGCCATGCTATTGAGGGCATTCATTTACTTCACAATAACACAACATCCTGCAAGATCGATATCAACAACCAAAGATTGATGAAAATGAACTGGAAAGCCACTAGAGGCGCTAGAGATACTAATTGCTCTAGACCTCTAGCGAAAATATCCTTCAAAGGTGAAAGTACCATATTCCCTACCTAGAAACACCATGCTGCAATAGCACTTCGGCATCCTGGTTGCAATAACCAACGACTAGTACATCAAGTCGGTGGGCCTATCAATTTGTGTCAGTAATTAAAACCACATAATTCATCCGTTACTTGTGGCGACACCAGCATATGCACCAGCCATACATGCCACAATACCACAGATCCCAAATAAACCAACAAAGCACCCAAAAACATAATAGCAAACAAGTTGGAGCAACTAAGTAATAAATAGGATCCATGAAATAAGTTCAGCCCAGTTTCAAGGGACAGCTTCACCTGACCCTTCCAACACTGATACCAAAGTTCCCACGGAAGCTACACTAATGAACCGCAAGTCTAGATCACCAGGCCACTTGGCTCAGTTCAAAATAATGGAGCCACGGTGCATTCTTTATAATTAAAAGTTTAGCATAGATGGTGGACATCCAGATGATTATTGGAGTTGGAGTAGCTAAAGCTATTTAACCTAAGGATGGTCAATCATCCTGCTCAACCTTAACACTCTGCAGCTTCGAATCAAGCTCGTCCTCACTGTCGGCATCCTCATCCTCTTCCTCATCGTCACCATCATCAGGCTCTCCGTCAGGATCGTTCTCATCTAGTGAGCCCAGCACATCCAGGGATTTCTTACCAGCCTTTAGAATTTCCTTCACCTCATCAATCCCTTCATCGGAGATGAAATTTCCATTGATGTTCAGTTGCACAAAAGCTGGTTTATTTGTGACTGCCCGCGCAAAGCACCGAGCTCCAACCCTCTGCAGCATGTTTGTGCCCACGTCAAGTTCCTTGAGATCTGTGTGGCCATCTTCCAATGATTTTGCAATAATCACAGCACCATCATCCTTCAGTTCATTTTCAGCCAAGGTCAGCTTCTTGAGTGACTGCATTGCTGCTAGGCATTCTGCCAAAGCTGGGGCTGCTTTGGCATTTATTTCATTTCCAGCAATTTCAAGGACCTCTAGCTGTGGTGCAGACTGTTTGAGGGCAACGGCAATTGCTTTCGTACCCTTGTTCTCAAGATTAAGATCACTGAGATAAAGCTCAACAAGATCAGGAAACTTCAGAAGGGTTTTGCTGAGAGCTAACCCTGCAATAACACCAAATAAGTTGTCCCTAAGATCAAGTTTCTTCAGACGAGTGCATGTACCTAGTGCCTCAGACAATGCCACTCCACCATCAGATCCTATCCTTGTTGCTGAGCACCTGAAACTCTCCACATTTGGAGAACGCTTAACCATCTCAGCAATATACATAGCACCTTCATCTCCAGTCATATTGTTGTGGAACTGTGGAAGTGAAGAATCTTAAGGTTCTCAGTTGAAGGAATAAGCTCAGATAGAGCTTTTGCAGCTTCCTCTGATATGCCATCATTCATCACATAGAGTTCTTCCAGGGATTCCTGTGATTTCAGGAGCTCACTGAATGCCCTGACACCCTTCTCACCTAAAGCATTGTCAGAGATATTCAGATATCTCAGTACAGAACCCTCTAATGCTTTGGAGAATATGCGCACCACGTCAAGAGCTTCATCCTCAGGCCTTCCCGCGACAAAATCTGAGATATCTGCCTCTGTGAGCTGATTTTTGACTGATTCGAGAATTGGCCCAGCAACATTGGCAGCATCAATACCAAAGCTCCTATTGCTAAAGCAAATTCTTTTATACGAATTTCCTGGTTTGGTAAGTGGACTCAGCAGTTCCTTTGCTTCATCTGCCTCAATAAAAGCACGTTTGCCACCAGATATATCTAGTACAGTATCAGCAGGCGCAAGAGGTGTATCAGCTACAGGTGCCTCCAGTTCTGCAGAAGTCCTTGGACCTTTTTTCAGGACTACCAACATCATCTTACTCGTTTCCCTTGCATATAACTGGACAGCAGAACTCCCATCACCATTAGGCTCCCTTTTGAAATGCTCATCAGCTGAGGCAAAGCAAAGTTCTTCAATCCTTTTTGCATTCTCATGAGCCTCTTGCTTGCCCAAAAGACTATATTTGCGAGAGAAAATAGACTCTGTGGACAGGTTCTTTGTTATCCTCTCAACAAGCATGATACGTGTGCTTTCACTTGGTGGCCACAACTTTATGGAGAATGTCCTGGGTTGAAATTATTGCGTTGGATCCATGACAAGCTTGAACTTAACACAGCAACCTATAATAGTAGAACACGATGTATTAGCCTTGCTTTGATAACATAAGATATTGTAGTAGCAGAAAACACAATAAACCAACAATATGAACCAATTAGATTGTATTTCCGGGTCTCTTCAAGGAACCAAACATTAGTACAGTAGTAACAAAAAAAAAGTATCACCAACGACTAAAGTTTTTACCACTAATGTTAGAATAGGCGCCTATGGGCTGGCCATGGGCCTGGCGCCCAAGCCTATCGGCTGGGCTGCCTCTAGGGATTATGGTAGATGATTATTGATTAGGCAAGGATCACCGTTGATTGGGTGTTTCTATAAACCCTTCATGATCCTTGCCTATATATTGTACTCCCTGTACCCATATCAATCTATCACAATTTCCCGAGACCTATTCGCTCTCATGGTATCAGCCGCCTAGGTTTAGGTCTTCCCTTCCGCTGCCCACCCCTGCGCGCCGGCCTCTGCCGTGCAGCGCCATGTCTCCCACTCCCCCGCCCTCTCCTAGGTCTGGGGATGTTACCGCTGACGAGATCGCGGCACGCCAGGCCAAGGAGAAGGCGAACGACGCCGTTGCCGCCGCCCAACTTCTCAACAAGGAGCGCCAAGCCGCCCTGGCTCGCGCTGCCCAGGCCGAGGAGGAGGCTGCAGCCGCCGTCAAAGATCGTGACGCAGCTGCTGCCCGCGCCAGTGAAGCCCTGGCGCGCGCAGCCAAGGAGCGCACGGCCGTCGCCGCCGCCGCCGCCGCCCCCGGTGCACCTGGCGGCACCTCCTCCAGCACATCTTCGACGTCTCCTCCCGACCTCGCCTCAGCCATGCTCCTCCATGAGGCCATGGCACTGCTGCAACTGCACGCCCAGGCCGTCGCCGTCAACAACATCCGGAACCACGTCACCACCGTCCTCGACGTCAACTCCGGCAACTTCAACCGCTGGTGCGATCAGTTCCTGCTCATCCTCGGCAAGTTCTCTCTTCAGGACCACGTCCACGAGGAACCTCCGGCCCCGATCTCCCCTGACTGGGCTCGGATGGACTGCGTCGTCAAGTCCTAGATCGTCGCTACGCTCACTGACGACCTTGCCGAGATCATCTCCGCCCAGGGCTCCACTACCCGGCATGCCTGGCTTGCCGTCGAGTCCCAGTTCCTCGGCAACCGGGAGGCTCGCTCCATCCACCTTGAGACGCGGTTTCGCAACTTCGTCCAGGGCGACCTCTCCGTCACCGACTACTGCCGCCGGCTGAAGAAGATGGCTGACGACCTCACGGCTCTTGGCGAAGTGATCACCGACCACACCCTCGTCCTTAACGTGATCCGTGGCCTCAACGAGCGCTTCAGCCACGTCGGGGCCCTCCTACGCCGCAGCCGGCCCTTCCCCACCTTCCTGGAGGCTCGTGATGACCTCATCCTCAAGGAACTCACATTGGAGAACAAGGAGTCCTCGCCATCGCTTGCTCTCGCCGCCTCCACCGCAGCAGAAGAGCTCCTCTAGTCTTTGCCTCACCCACGTCCAACACGGCTCAAGGCGCCAAGCGCCTAAAGTCCTCAACGGCAATCGCCAGCAGCAGCGCGCGGCGGTGGTGGAAAAGGGGGCCTGGTGGCAACAACAAAGACTGAGGCCACCGCCCTCCCTCTGGCGCCAAAGAAGAAGCGAGCAGAGAGACGATCGGCGCCAAAGCACCCACCGCCACCGGTGGTCGCCCACGCCCAACGCTCTACAACCCATGGATGGTTCCATTCGAGATGTGGCGGGGTCCTCGTCCTCCATTGGCACCCATCCGGTGCCTCCTCATCTGCAGCACAACAAAGAGTTCTCCTTGCCCAAAGAAGAAGCGAGCACTGCGTCGCCCACCGGCGACTTCTTTGTCAGCTCCGCCTCGATGGCTCGGGATGGTGGGTCCCCGGTACTACAATCCTATGGCCGGCCTCCTTTCTTGGGACCAGACGGCCTCGCCTCCGCCTTTTCAAAGACGACGTCAGTTGACCCTCCTTCGTCCAACGAGTGGTACTTCGACACAGGTGCTACTTCACATATGACATCTCAGTCTTCCTCCCTTTCACATGTTCTATTCCCGTGGTATCCTACTCCTTCATCTATTGTTGTCGATAATGGTTCCATGCTTCCTGTTACTGCCACTGGCTCCACAGAGTTGTCCCCTACTTTACGTCTTAATAATGTTCTTGTCACCACAACTTATTAAGAATCTTATCTATGTGCGCCAATTCACTATCGACAACAACTGTTCTGTTGAGTTTGACCCCGCTGGTTGTTCTGTGAAGGTTCTTCCATCTTGGACCGAGATCGTCAGGTGCAATAGCTCCGGGCCGCTATATCCACTGCGCCTACCTCCAACACACTCCTTTGTCGCTCAGGCTCCCTCCCCACTATGACATCGGCGTCTCGGTCACCCCGGTCATGAGGCATTGTCGAAGCTTGCGTCTACTGTTTCCTGTCACATTCAGGACTATTCAGATCTATGTCACGCTTATCGGTTAGGGCGTCATGTTCGTCTGCCCTTTCATTCGTCCACCTCTCGTGCGTCTAGCAAGTTTGATCTTATTCATTGTGACTTGTGGACATCTCCAGTTGTTAGTGTTTCTGGTTAAAAATACTATTTGGTCATACTTGATGATTGCACTCACTACTTGTGGACTTTTCCTTTGCGCCTCAAATCTGACACTTACAGTACGCTTGCCCACTTCATCGCCCACGCCTCCACCCAATTTGGCGCCCACGTCAAGGCTGTCCAATGAGACAACGGGAAAGAGTTTGACAACTCTAGTACCCGTCACTTCTTCCTCACCCAGGGCATCCATCTTCGTAAAGCCGAACGCATTATTCGCTCCATCAATAATGTCGTTCGCTCACTGCTCTTTCAGGAGTCTATGCCTCCCTCCTACTAGGCGGAGGCCCTCTACACAGCAACCCTTCTGCTTAACATACTGCCCACCAAGACTCTACAGTTCTCCACGCCCCACCTTGTTCTGTACGGCACGCCACCGGCATATGATCACCTACGAGTCTTTGGCTGCAAGTGTTATCCAAACCTGTCCGCCACCGCTCCTCATAAACTCGCTCCTAGGTCTGCCTTGTGCGTCTTCCTAGGCTATTCCACTCACCACAAAGGATACCGCTGCCTTGACCTCTCCACCAATAGAGTCATCATCTCCCGGCACGTCATCTTCGATGAAACGGCCTTCCCCTTTGCTGAGCGCAATGGTCCTAGTATTCCGGCGAACTTTGAGTTTCTTGATGCTACTGATGTTGTGCCCGCTCCTATTGGACCGTTGCACAAGTTTTTGTCTGCAGGAGCACCATCCAGCACCTCTGACGTCACCAACGCCCCTGCCGGTCCCTCTGAGACTGTGCCTGGGGTGCCCCCGACGCCTCCGGTGGCTGCTACTGATCCCCCAGCGGACATTGCTGATCCCCCGACCCCCGCGCTCTACATCCCGCCTGCGCTGCGGACGCCAGGGACCCCTCCCGCGCCACGCGCGGCTCAGGACGCGTCCAGCACGACTGGAGGCGCTCCAACTCGCCAGCTGTACATCCCGCCAACGCTTCGCACAAGCTCGCAGTCTCCAACACCGACCGCGGGCTCCACAGCGCCGGTGTCACCTCCTCAGGCACCCCGCGGGCCCCCGCCCGGGTTCCCGCCTCTTCGTCCAGACCGCGCCTTCGCCTACCACTACACGCGCCGGCCTCGACCACAGCCTGCTCCAACTGCACCTGCACCAGCCGCCCAAGCTGCGCCTGCACCAGCCGCGCCGCTCCCACTGCCCAAAGGGGCTGTTGCTGTCCCTCCTGTGACCAACCAGCACGCCATGGGCACACGTTCGAAGAGCGGTTTTCGGATGCCTGCTACGTACCACGCTACGTCTATGTCACCGATACCGAAGACCTTCCGTAGCGCTCTTGCCGACCCCATGTGGCGAGCTGCAATGGAAGAGGAACATAGTGCCCTGCTGAAGAATCACACTTGGGATCTCGTGCCTCGCCCCCCTCGGGCCAACGTCGTCACCGGCAAGTGGATCTTCAAGCACAAGTTTCAGTCTGATGGCTCCCTCGAAAGGCACAAGGCGCTCTGGGTTCTCTGCGGCTTTACCCAGCGGCCTGGTGTGGACTTTGATGAGACATTCAGTCCCTGGCTCTCTCTCGCCGCTGGCCCATCCACCAGCTTGATGTGAAGAACGCCTTCCTTCATGGCAACCTGACAGATACAGTTTATTGTCAGCAGTCGTCTGGGTTCAAAGATCCAACTCATCCGGACTATGTTTGTCACCTGAAGAAGTCACTATATGGCCTCAAGCAGGCCCCTCGTGCTTGGTACAGTCGCATGGCCACACACTTGCTGTCCCTTGGGTTTGCTGAAGCCAAGTCAGACACCTCGCTCTTCGTTTACTAGCGCGGATCAGACACGGCCTACCTGTTGCTCTATGTTGATGACATCGTCCTCACAGCCTCCTCAACCGGCCTTCTTCGGCGGATCATCTCAGCCCTTGAGCGTGAGTTCGCTATGAAGGACCTTGGTGAACTGCATTACTTCCTCGGTATGCATGTTCAGCGCAGTGGTGATGGCCTTCCTCAGCGACAATATATGCTGGACATTCTTGATCGCGCCGGGATGGCAGAGTGTAAGCTGTGTTCCACTCCAGTTGACACCAATCCGAAGATTGCTGCAGCAGATGGCACCCCTGTCTATGACCCTTCAGACTTTCGCAGCCTCGCTGGAGCCTTACAGTACCTAACGTTCACCCGGCCGGATATTGCATATCTGTGCAGCAAGTCAGTCTTCATATGCACGACCCTCGTGAGCCTCACCTTGTAGCTCTGAAGCGGATTCTGCGCTATGTTCGAGGCACTCTCCACCTTGGTCTCCTGCTGCGACCGTCTACTTCGGATGAT